GAGAGAGAGAGAGAGAGAGAGAGAGAGAGAGAGAGTTAAAATCAAAGACCGGATCAAACAGAGTTGGAAACCTTGTCGGTCACTGAGTGCAGATGCCATCACCGAATCCCCCAACGTCAACTTTGAACAGTGAAATATTTCCTTTAAGTACAGAATTGTGGATACAAGACGAGCCCCTAAGTTTGAGTACCGCCCACGCTGACGACAGGGGTTTTTCCTGTCTATCTATCTATTTATCTATCTATCTATCTATCTATCTATCTATCTATCTATCTATCTATCTATCTATCTATCTATCTATCTATATACCTATCTTTCTGTCTGTCTGTCTGTCTGTCTGTCTGTCTGTCTGTCTGTCTGTCTATCTACCTGTCTATCTATCTATTTATCTCTTAGTTTGACGCAAAGCATGGAATCTGCAAATGTCAAAACACAGAAATACTCTTCATTATCAATGTTGTCTTTGTAGCCTCTCAGAGGTGATTGATGATCCTGAGCAGTGAGAAGAATGTATTTTTACTCACCATAAAGAGCACAGCCTCAGACCAAGCACACGTTGTATTGCATTGTATATTGAATACGAAAACGGCTTGAAGCTATACTATACGACGGAGCGAGATGCCAAAAATCGTGCCGCCTTCTCTTTTTCCTTTCTTCTAATTTCTTTTTCAAACTGGATTCTAGAGATGAAATCTCTATAGGCAACATGATTTGAGTTCATTTCAATCAGTCCCCGGTTTCCCCTACTCCACTTGTTTGTTATCATTCTGACGAGCCAGACAGGGGTGGTAAGATTATCGTTGTAGACAAAATGAATGTCAGTAAAGTCAAACTCTCATCCCCATCCTCACGCAGTGGTACAAATTCTCACAATTTCCTGTCCAGCCGCGCCACCAAACAGGGTGCGAAGGTCAATCAATAGCGGGTGTCTCGTACTTCGGTGTTACATATCATAATAAATTCTCAGCTCCAAACTGTGAGCATCTACAATATTCCATTTCTTCAAAATACCGATCTGTCTGTCTGTCTGTCTGTCTGTCTGTCTGTCTGTCTGTCTGTCTGTCTGTCTGTCTGTCTGTCTGTCTATCCA